GTCTGGGCATCCACTGGATCCATCTGTGTGAGAAAGTGAAGAGGGAAGCAGATGTTCCTATGCCAAAAGTTCTCATCCACACCTACAGTCACAAGGCTTCCAATGATCTCTCAGGGTTGCCAATCACAAATCTAGTTGGTCTCAGGGATTAACAACTGGAAAAGTTTTTCATCCTTGTTCTGTTTCCCTAAGCCTGCACTGTCATTGCCAATAAAGATGAAATAATAATTGAAGTTTTATGGAAAGACAAGGTCCCAGAGTCACAATACTTTATCTCAAAGGAGAGACACAAATGTTTTGGCTGATGACAACCATTACACTTCGGACTGTGCAGTGAGATGCTTATTTCATCCTGGAGCAAAGCAAGTAAGATAAGTAGGCGTAGCCACCAGATGTAGGCTGTGCTCTATAGTGTCACATTAATGACTGTTGGCTTTTCATTTTGCATATTGTAATAAATATTTCAATTATTTATGATGCGGCTTCAGGTGTATGTATGACATATATGCATCATATCTAAATCTATCTAGTTAGCTATCTGAAAACTGTTGATTTCTCACACTTAGCATGTCAGTGGTTATTTGAATGCCTCCAATTCAGTGGTACTCACTTGAGGGAATGTAACAATACAGTGTTCTTTCTGAATTTAACTTCACCCATCTGTACAAGACACTTCAATTAGATTCCAGAAAGTTGTACAATTTGGTCTGTAATGGATTTTAATATCCATTAAAATGTGTCATGAGTTTAATATCCATTAAAATGTGGCATGACATCCTCACTTTCTTGGCTGTCCTTGCTAGGTATTTTTCTTTATCTTTGATCAAAATATAGATGATGGTGCAGCTTGGGAGACAGCGATGTAGGGAACAAGGATTGTGAAACAAACAGCTTCTCATGGGTGCATAACATCTGGGGACCCTCCTACTTTCCTATTTCATTCTCCCCAGGCTCAGTTCTCCATGTTCTCTGCTGCCTTCCTATGTCTGGCATGAGGATGCAAAGGGACAGCCTCACCACACACTCTCTGCTCTTTGGAGACACCCACCACAAAAGACAAACTTGTAATTTTCGATTTTTGGGGAGCTGCCATAGTGATTTCAATAGTGTACTAATTTACATACCTACCAGCAAAGTGGAAGGGTCTTTCTTCTCTACATCTTCACAAACATTTTTTTTTTGTTTTTATTTTCTTCACTGTCTTGCTGAGCAGGTTGAGATGGAATCTACTGTAGTTGTGATTTATGTCTCTGATGTCCAAAAGGTTTAAAAAAATTTTTGTACTTACTGGTTCTTTCTACTTCCAATTTTAGGAAGTGTCTTCTCAGTTTATTTGCCTATTTATTGACTGGGATATATTTACTGGGTTTTTTTTTATTTCTTTGAATATTAATCTTCTGTCAGATGAGTAGCTGGTAAAGACTCAAATTTTGTAGGCTTTGTAATCAATTTTTTGTTTCTCTTGTACAGAATTGTTTTACTTTAATCCAGTCTTATTTGTTGATTCTAGCTATTTTCCCCATACTATTGGACTTCTATTCAAAAGGTCTCTGCCTGTGTGTGTCTTCAAGTGTCTCCCATAAGTGTCAGGATAACTAGGACTTTGACCATTTTCAATCGACATTTATAGAGTGAGAAAAACTTATCCAGTTTCAATCTTCTACAAGTGTACATCGTTTTCACTGTTCCATTTGTTAGAGACTGTCTTTTCTCTAGCATGTATTTTTTCCCAGTGTGTATTATTGACTCTGTCCAGAATCAGATAGCTGTAGTTATGTGGGTTCCTTTCTGTGTTTTCTCTTTATTCATTGGTCTATATATCTATGCTTTTTACCAGTATAATAAACAATGTGTTACCATGGCTCCGTAATATAGTTTCAAATCAGATATTAGGATTTGTTTTTTTTTTTTTTTTTTTTGGCTTGGGTTAGCTTTTGATATTCTGTTTTTTTGTGTGTTTTTATATAAATTTTAAGATTTTCTTTTTATTTCTGTGCACACTTGTCATTTGTGTTTTGATAATGATTGCAATGAATCTTTAGATCATTTTTGATAATGTAGAAATTTGGGCAATATTAATTCTGCCGACCTGTGAACATGGGAGGTCTTTCCATCTTCTGGTGTCTTCTTCAGTTCTTTGCTTTAGTATTTTGAAATTTTCACTGTACAGTTCTTGGAGCATTTTGGTTATATTAGACCCTTAGTATTTTATTTTATCTAAATTTATTGTACATATAATTGCTTTTTCTAATCTATTTTTTATCTATTTGTCAGCTAGGCCATATAAAGCTACTCATTACTTACCATTGATTTTATAGCCCAATGGTTTGCAGACCTCATTTATCATCTCTAAATATCACTAAATATTTAGTGGAGTCTGTAGGGTATTCTATGTGTAGGTTCACATCATCCACAAATAAGCAAAATGCAATTTGACTTCTTCCTTTCCTATTTGTATAACTTTTTTTCTCATGACTGATTGCTCTGGCCAAATTTCAAAAAACATATTGAAAAAGATTGGTGACCACCATGTATTTTGGTGCAAGTCTGTAATCTCAGCACCTGAAAGTTTCAGTGGGAGGACTGACAAAAGTTTGAGGCCAGCCTGGGCTACACAGTCAATTCAGAGCCAGCTTGGACTACCTAGAGAACCTGTCTCAAAAAACAAAACAACAGAGTGGTGAGAGAGGACATTATTGTCTTGTTTCTGATTTGAGAGGAAATAGATTCAGCTTTTCCCCCTTTTCAATGATGTTTGCTGTGGGTTGGGCATTCATGGCCTTTACTGTATTGAAGAAAGATCCTTGAGCAGTTAGTTTCATTAGGGTTTTTCTCACAATGGGCTCGTCATTTTGCCCAAGGCGTTTTCATCGTCAATTGAGATTATCACGTGATTTTTAATCTCAGTGCTACTTATGTGTGTATTATGTTGATTAATTTCAATGTGAACTATCCTTGTATGTCTCAATTAAACTTGATCTTGCTGTATAATTTTTAATGTGTTGTTGTTTGTATATCATTTATGATTTTTACATCTACGTTCATCAAGGATATTGATCTATGATTTCCTTTTTCATTCAGTCCTAGTTAGGTTTTAGCAGCAGGGTAATGTAGGTTAGATTTTAGAGGCAGGGAAGTGAATTTGGGAGCACCCTTACTTTTGTGTCTCATTGAATACTTGTGGGAGCATTGGTATTATTTTTTCTTTAAAGATATGGAAATCTATTATGGTAGTCATTTTGATTTACTACCATCTTGCTTTGGAGTCCTGTATTACATTCATTGTTTTTGTTTTTTTATTAGTTCAATTCTGTTCTGTTTTGTTTGAGTTTCCTATGTCTGAAGGTCTGGGCAGCTGTTTTGAAGACAATGAGGAATCATGGCAACCACTGGTGATTTCTTAATTATATTGTTTTGAAATCCAACTGTTTTGTTTTGACGGGCTTTAGGGCACTGGATTTACACTGCTGGAGACATCTGAATACAGCAATGAACCTTGGCAACCAACTTCACAAAATTATAATGTGTAAAAGGTTTCTTTAGCAGCAAATATATAGACAGAGAAAACACACATACCTTAAAGGATATGTTTATTGATATCCGCCCATGTCCATGCATTTATCTTCTGTGTAGATGCTAAAATTTTTTTCCAAACAAATTAAGGAAAGGTAAAACTTGCAGGTTCAAATGGCTTTGACTTTGGTGATGGTTTCATGGGTGCAAATTTATCTCCAAATACATGGAATTACACACATTTAAACTCTGCAGATACCTTGCGCATGCGAGCCTGCAATCAGCCAATCTCTTCAGGCAACCCACCTGTAAGGACTTTCTATCTCTGCTCCTACACAGGCAGATTTACTTAAATCAAACATCTTTTTGACACTACTTTCAAGTGACACTTCCCAAAATACCTCTACTGCCACAAATCCAATAAAGCAGTCACCAAGGCACATGACAGGACTCTGTCATCATCAGCCATTCTGCTCTCAGATTTGACTCTCTTCTGGTCTCTACTGTTAGAGACTCAGATCAAGAAACATCACTCCTTCCCTGTTTTCTAAACCCATCTCAGATGGAAGCTGGAAGAAACTGGTGTACATTTCGTCTACTCAAACCATACTTTAATTTCTGGACACAAAACCTTGCAAATCCCAAATCTGAGTGGTCTCAAGGCATGTGAAGGGATTCACAAATGGTGAACACCACAATGAAATCCACCAGTGTTTTCTGTAAGATATGAAGAAAGATAACACTCAAAATTGTGACATGATTTCCTGAAATGTGGTTTAAGAGCATGGACACTTCAAATTACGTTGAGCAGGACATGGGGTTCAAGCTTGTAATTGAGCAGCTCAGGAGACTCAAGCAGACAGATCCTCACAAGTTCAAGGCCAGCCTGGGCTATATAGTGAGTTCAAGGACAGCCTGAGTGACACAGCAAGACCCTGTCTCAAATGCCATCCCTCCGACAAAAAAATTCTACCTGGAAATTAAGGACACATTTTATCATGAATTAAAGGATGGGATGTAGAATGAAAATTCCATTTTCATTTGGCTCATCTCAATCTGTAAGTCCAATCAAGAACTAAATCAAAATGTTCGCATAATTCTAGTAATACACATACATTGGAAGGAGCTGCTATTTATAGCTACAGTGTTAGTGTAAATCCTCAATACAGCCTAACCCGATATACTAATTTAATGCTGATATAACCTTGATAAAGTTTCACATTGTTCAGCTACAACTGGTCGTTTAGAAGCTAAAAGATTTTTCCTCTCATTTTAGGCTTCATATTACATGTAACCTATTATGCAGTAATCCACATGGCCAGGACAATGGACTGGAACAGACCCCAAAACCCAAGAAGCATGGATAAACCTTGCGTCTCCTCTCAAAGACAAGTGGCAAGCATTTCTCATCACCTTTCTCACTGACCACAGTGTCACATCCATTTAGCTAAAGTGATGCCAGTCAATAAAAACTGCATTGATCTCAGTTAATTTCAAAATATTGCTTTTTATTACAATTAAAAAGTATACCCCAAAAAAGTGACAAATCTTTCAATTAGGCAAATGTGGGAAGTAGCCAAAATTGTAAAGGAAGCACTCAGGAAGTAAAGACTGGAAGCTAACATGTTTACAAATATGTTCAACTCTGTCTGGAAATAGTTTTTGAAAAGTATGGCTAAGAAGCTGTACATATATAAATATGTGTTAATCATACAATAATGCAAGTTAAAATTAATAGTGATGTGTCAAAGTATAATGACTTTTTAAATAATTATTTACATAAAATAGATGTGGCATGGTAAAATGTAAGATGGAGGTCAGCATCTGACATATTAGGATACACCAAGGATCCTGCAAGAGTGGAGAGAAGAGACAAAAAAATACTAAATGATAAAAGACTGACTTAAATGTGTGGTAATTAATGACATACACACTTACACAGAATAAAAATATAATAAAACCCCTTCAAATTATTGAGGGTTGCAAAGAAATTCCAAATCAACAATACTCAAAATTTAAAATAATATTGTGTCAAAAAATAAAGGTTGTCAAAAAGTGAAATAAAGAATTTCACTTAGTATTGCTACTAATCAATTGATCTGGCTATCACTTTTAATAGACATCTCTCCGCAATCAGACTGGTTCATGATTGCTCTAAGGTTCTGTGACATTTGAGTTCATCCAAGACTGAATGAATGAAAAGTAGACAGAGTCAAAGGTCTAGAGAACTGAGATATTTGCTCACTTCTTCCAAATGAGCCTATATACACCAACTCCATGACTCTTGAGAATGAAAGGGCTCCTTTCCACAGTAGTGGGAAAAGAAGCATTGATGAAGGATGAAGTTCTGGTCAGCCACCAGGTACTCTCATCATAAAGAGAAAAAAAAGCATGGTTGACAGAAGACAGGGTGTAGAAGAGGAGGAAGACACTCACCAGGAGGAGGACACCCTAAGCGGCTTTGGTCTAGGGGGAAGGTTCTGAAGAGATGCTGTGTCTGCAGATATGGTGGATCCACTGATCATGCTTGTACAGTGTCGTGAGTATCTAGGGTACTCTGAACTCCGGGAAAGGTAAACACGCAAACACGCCTGATCGGGACACGGGGGGTGCAGCACTCGGAAAGGAAGACAGGAGAGACACGGCACCTTTACTGCCTGCACCGCGTTGCACTGCACTGCACGCACAATCTTTATTTTAAGATTCATATATAGTAAACCGGATCAGGTCACAGAGCCCAGATAATTAAGTAGTGAAAAGGCATTCTTTGTGACAAGCTACAATGTGACAGACTACAATGTTTATTCTAAACTATCTAAGTGAAGCAAATAATCACAATCAGTTCTCCTAACTTCTCTAGCCCAGGAAGAAATTCATTAGCTCAAGAATGTTGTTAATTTGTCTGCTGTTAGTGTCACAAAGGGTGGCCAGCCACTTCCTCAAGACTTCTGCAAAACAAAGCCAGCTCACAGTATGGTTTCCAGAGGGTGAGAGATCTCACTGATAACAGGCATTCCTGTCCTACCTCGGTCTCGCATACCGGGGGGCTATTGTAAATTGCAGGTTAGAGGGGGTTGGGCCTACAAAGTGACACCTCGTCCCCCACACTTCCTTCCTTTTTATTTTTTAACAACAATTTCCATAAGACCAGGTTATTAATAGTATTTCGTCTTATGCAGTAAAAATACACAAGAACTATGGCAGTGAAAACTATAATTAAACTAAGTCCCATGCCACTTAAAGTGTGGGTTATGCTCTGCCAGATTCCTTTGGAATCTAATCCTTTCAAAGATTGAGCAAGCAATTGCGCGAATTGTGCCAGGGATTCATCATCATTTTGCTTTGCAAAATCCTTGTCAATTTGATTATGCAAAGATTCTATTTCCTCCTGGGCAGAGGTGTTTCCATTTAGATACATTTTAATCACTTCCCATTCATGTTCTGTTTGATTATAAGGTCGTTGGGTTATACAGAAAGTAGTTGAATTCCAATCACATTTTAAAAACACTTGATGCTGAAGAGCCAATATTTTTCTACCCATCCATTCAACTGTTTGTTTAAGGAGGTCTATTTGCTGCTGTAGTTTGGCATTTATTTGCCACTGAGTTAACCAAAGTTCATGAGAATTTTCATGCCATAATTCTACAACATGTTTTTCTTGCAAAGAGGTTTGTAAAGCTATTCCTGAGACTGCTGCTAGGGAGACTACAGTTATCAGACTTAACAGTACAGCAACCACTATTCCAATAAATCTTTTTGTACGTTTTAACAGATGTTGAAAAAATTCAGTAGTAACAGAAATTACTGGGTCTTGAGACCATGGTCGAGTTAAATTTACAGGCAACCAAATATGAGTTTTTTGTTGTAACAGCATAGCTGTATAAGGCTTAGTGAAATTCAATGTGCTATTTAAACAGGTAAACAATTGACAATTTAAACAAGTACAAGAAAAATGTGTAAAATTAAAAGTTCCCACTAAAAAGACATAAGGCAGAGGTGCACAAACAGTAATATTATACATTTTAAACCTAGTAAAATTATAAGTAGTAGATACAGATCGACTAGTCCCTGAATAGGAAACATTGTACAAGGTTACAGGTTGCATAGCGGCTGGAATCTTCCAAATATGATTTTGGAGGTGATGAGGGTATTCTTCGGCTGCAACAGCAGGGTTAGCGATTCCACCATCTCCCCACCACAAAAGAGGCGTCTTCTGAGGCAAGATAGGAGCTCCGTCAGTTATTTTCTTTGGATCTGGAAGACTATACACAACAGAGAGATTACATCTTGTCTCATTCCATTCAGCACATCCATTAACGAATTTTCCAAATGGTCCCCAAATAATATATCCATCAATATTTTTAGCAAACTTTCCCATACACTGTTGCCAAATTATGGGATAATAAGAAATATTCTTATAAGTGAAATCAGGGCATACAGGAAATGTATCTGTATCAGGCGCTGTTAAATTTCTCCAGGTAACATTAAAGGTTTGAGCAGCCAAGGCTTGAAGCCTTGTCCTTTTGCTGCCTGCTTTTATTCCATGTTGAATCCAATACTGCCATCCCAGAGGGATGCAAGGTGGTTCTCCAATGCAAATAGGCCTTTGATTACCATAATAAGTAAAATTGAATAATGTCCCATCATCTTGATTGTGGGGGGTTAAATCAGCCCACGGTGCTGACAAAATTTCTCTAGGTGTAGTATAAAGTAAAATATCACTAGTTCCCCATTTTACAGGTTCTAATAAAGGGGGATTTGGAATATAGGCCCAATAAGAATGTGGGGGTACCTCAGTCCCCGATGCAACGGTGAGCAAGGCACATAAAGCTAAAAACAAGTTTTCAGGGTTTAAAGGCTTTCCTGCTTGAAGGACAAGCCGTTGCCCTTCTATGGTCAATTTCTTTATTTGCCCCCATGTAGGGAGGCGATTTAAATTTGGTCGCTGTGAGCGGCGGGAATTTCTTAGCTGTAATCTGGCCATGGCTGTGACAGGAACAAGCTCAGCATCCTCAGCCTCTAGCTGGTTTCGCGCTCGCTTCTGAAGACACGGTTCCTGGGGGAGTTGTCTCCGGGACTGGCGAACAGGGTCTGGAGGTGCGGATCCTGATCCATCGTCCAGGGACCCACTGCTGAATTCCATGTTCTGTGGAGATATAACCAAAACCTTTCCCCTTATAGAGCAGTGTGCCCTTCTCCCATTCAGCCTCTGGGGCTGTTTTAGTCCAAATAGGTTCATTAATTACATATGGCTGTTGTTGCTGTTTGAAATGTCTTTCAGCTCTTGTTAATATTTCACCTTGTGGTAAATTGAGAAAATTTAAAATAAACAATGCTTGATGCAGTAATGTTTTTGGACTGTTTTGCAATTTAAACAGTATTGGTATCTGAATATCCTCCTGACTCCTCCTTTTTAATTTTTTAATTTGCAACTTAAGAGTGCCATGTGCTCTTTCAACAATAGCTTGACCCTGGGGGTTATATTCAATCCCTGTAATATGAATAATATTATGGAGATCACAAAATTGTTTAAATGTTCTGCTAGTATAAGCAGGTCCATTATCTGTTTTGATTTTAGAAGGAATTCCCATAACTGCAAAAGTCTCCAATAAATGTACAATAACATTTTTAGTGGATTCTCCCTGTTGAGCAGTAGCCCATAGAAATGAAGAATAGGTATCAATAACTACATGTACATAAGAAAGCCGACCAAAAGAAGATACATGTGTAATATCCATTTGCCATAACTCATTAGGTTGAGTTCCTCGAGGGTTGACACCTGCGGGAATAATTCTTAAATGTAATGGTCTACAAATAGGGCAGGCTTTTACAATCTGTTTAGCTTCTGTAAAAGGTATCTTATATTTAAGATGCAAATGTCCTGCATTCGCATGATTAAATTGATGTTCTTCAACAGGTGTAGTGAACATAACTAAGGAATCCACTGTATTGTTACCTGATACTAATGGTCCAGGTAACTGAGAATGAGAACGTAAATGAGTAATAAAATAAGAATGATTTCTTTTTTGAACATGTATTTGTAAATTCTGAAATAAAGACAATAAGGCAGGCTTATTAGAATATGACACAGCTGAATAGATATTTGTCACTACTCCAACAGAATAGGCTGAATCAGCTATAATATTAATAGGTTGATCAGGAAAATCTAAAAACACTTGCAATATAGCAAAAAGTTCATTTTGTTGCACAGAGATAAAATTTGTTTGACGTACCCAATAAGATTTTTGAGTCCAATATGCAGCTTTATTTTTAGATCCATCTGTAAATATAGTCAAAGCTTGTGGAATTGGCTGTACAGCTAATAAAGTATTAACCACAAATTGTTGACGTCTAAAAAAATCCCATAATTTACTTTTAGGAAAATGATACGAAAAAGTTCCCATGAAATCTGCTAAAGCAATTTGTAAGGTTTCAGTAATTGACAACAAATATTCCCATTGTTCCTTAGTTAAAGGGATAACTATATTGTTTATATCTTCTCCTATCAGAGTTATAGAATGAGTTCTACCATTCATAATTAAAGCTGCAACCATATCGATATACGGTGTGACATTTTTAGATTGCTTAGTTTTAGTGAATACCCATTCTACTGGCATAGCATTCTGACCTAAAACTGCAGAGGGATATTGAAAAGTATTAATAATATATAAAGTTAAAGGCAATTTAGGATCAATCCTAATTAAAAATGCATCCTTAATTCGTTGTTCTACAAACTGTAATTCTTGCTCTGCTTTTGCTGTTAAAGAACGAGGGCTGGATGGATCTGAAGAGCCCTGTAGAGTAGCAAACAAATGCTGTAATGCATGGGTAGGAATACCTAGTGTGGGACGAAGCCAATTAATAATAAGCCCCTAATAATTTTTGAAAATCATTTAAAGTGGATAACTTATCTCTCCTAATAGACATTTTCTGTGGAATCACCTTTTGTCTAGTAAGAATATATCCCAAATAATGACTAACTTCTTCCTTTTGAATTTTATCCTGTGCTATTACAAGTCCAAATGGAGAAAAATATTGAGGTAAAGTTTTTAAAATATCTTCTAAAACATTTCTATCACTATATGAGAATAAAATATCATCCATGAAATGAGCCGTATAAACCTGAGGCCATCGTGCACGCACTGGTTTTAATGCTGCATCAACATAAATTTGACATATAGTTGGGGAATTTTTCATTCCTTGGGGTAAAGTTCTCCACTGATATCTTTGATAAGGTCTTTGATAATTTGTTTGAGGAATTGAAAAAGCAAACCGTTTTCTATCTTCTGGATGTAGTGGTTGTTAAAGAAACAATCCTGTAAATCTATAACATATACAAACCAACCAGCGGGGAGTGCTGAGGGTAAAGGAATGCCGGGCTGAAGTGCCCCCATTTGAAATAAGGATGAATTTACAACACGTAAGTCTGTTAAAAGTCTCCACTTGCCTGATTTCTTTTTTATCACAAATACTGGAGAATTCCAAGGAGATGTGGATGGTTCTATGTGATGTAGAGAAAGTTGTTGATCAATCAATTCCTGCGCTGCCTGTAACTTTTGAGTAGTCAGAGGCCACTGATCTATCCAAATTGGGTCATCATTTTTCCAATTAAGCTTTAAAGGATTCATTTCCCTAAGCTGTAGAAACATGTAAAATATTAAAAATGTATATGAGCTCCCCATTGTTCTAATATATCTCTTCCTAGAATAGAAACTGGCACCTCTAAGATATAAGGTTTAATAACAGCAACTTGACCCTCTTCATTTTTTATACGTATATGCATTGTGGCTTGTCCAATTGTATTTACTGGAGTTTTACTTACTCCTTTTATATTACATGGAATAATAGTATAAGTAATATGAGAAGGCCAATCAGTAGATTTAACAATAGTAATATCCGAGCCTGTATCTATAAGAGCCTGAATTTTCTTATGCTCAATAAAAATATTAATAAGAGGTTGTTGTTGAGATAATTTAGCTGTCCACATTACATTAATAGGGTTAGTGCTGCCGAACCCTCCTGTTCGCTGAACAACAGAGGATCCTATTGGGATATAAGGCAGTAAAATAAGTTGAGCTATACGTTCTCCCTTTAATAATTTATAATCTGTAAGTGAAGACATCAAAATTTGAATTTCTCCAGTATAATCTGCATCAATAATTCCTAAATGAACAGTAATGCCTTTCTGATTTAAACTAGATCGACCCGTGAGCAAGCCAAAAGTTCCTGCAGGCAAGGGACCAAAAATTCCTGTAGGAATTCTCACGGGAGATTGTCCTCCTATTAATTTTACATCTTTTAAGGCTGGTATATCCACTGCGGCGCTGTGTTGGGTGGCTGGCTGTAGGGAGAATACGGTGGGTTTACCCCATTGGTTTGTCCGGGGCCCGGGGTAAGGCCCGCTCTCCCGTTTCCCTTCTGTTCAGCTGAATTAACTTGTTTACTCCTGCATTCACGAGCCCAATGATTTCCCTTCTGGCACTTTGGACATAAGCCAGGAGCTCTAGATCTCTTTCTTTGATCATTGCCTAAAAGTTTTGGACAGGCTCTCTTTACATGCCCTGTCTGACCACAATTAAAACATTTTAAAGACTGTTCCTTTTTAGATTGCAAATTAGTCCACGTGGTTGCCATGGTTTCAGCAAACAGTTGCATTTTCCTAGATTCTGAATTTAAATCTTTACATTGTTTTATAAAACTGTCAATCATTCCAGTATCTTTAATTGGAATTAAAACCCTTTTGCATTCATCATTAGCATGTACAAAAGCTAAAATTTTTAAGAGATGTTGTTGTAAGTCTTGTCCCACTACTGTTCTTTCTATAACATTTTGAAGTCTTGCAATGAACTCAACATACGGTTCATTGGTTCCTTGCAGAACTTTAGCCCAAGATCCATATTCTGATCCTTTAGGCCGTATTTTATCCCAAGCTTCTAAAGCAATATTTTTTAATTGAGCATGAATCTCTCTTGGAGCTCCTGCCTGATGCTCAACAGTATCAAAGAAACCTGTACCAGAGAGCATGGGATAAGAAATGAGTCTAATATTAGGATCTCGATCGTCAGCATTTTGCCTTGCCTTTTCTGCACAACCTTCCATAAACCACATGTGCCACTGTAAATATTCTGGCTCTTTTAAAAGAATTTTGGCCAAGGCTTTCCAATCATAAGGAGCAAGATTACCATACTGATCTGCTACCGACATTATTAATTCTCTAGTGTAATGAGCCTGAGGGCCATAAAGGGTTACAGCTTTTTTAAATTTTGCTAAATCATCCATATTAAATGCTTCCCATCTAGGGGGAACTGCCGCTCCATCTACTGGCTGCGGCCTGATTACAGGGAAAGCAAAGGCAGACGTTTCCTCGTCAGAATTCCCTAATTTTGGTAGATCAGCCAAAGCTAGTTTGGCTTTACTCCAATTAGGGTTAGATGGAGGAGGTGCAGAGGGAGCTATAGGCGGGTTCTGCTTAACGGAGAGCTGTTTTACCTCTTGTGTTAAATGCTGTATAGCCTGTAAAATTGGGCGATTGTCATAATTTGATGTTGCTGCGGCAGCTAAAGCTGAGTCGGCTGCAGCGGATTTTACTTTCAGTTTGGACGCCTTTTCACTACTTAAAGCAATAGCGTCATTTTGAACTACATTCTGCTCCTCCTCTGTGAGGGGCAATTCCTGAATAACTGGTTTAATTTCTAGTTGAAGATTTTCTACAATATGTTCATCTTCCATAGCTTTTAATAAAGAGTACACAACCGACCAAATAGCCCAAAAACGTAAAGGAATCTTCTCCTCCTGTTGCATAGCCCTTTCTATACTAACCCTTGCCTTCCTCCATACTTCTACATCCAAAGTTCCTTCATCTGGAAACCAAGGATTGTATTCTTTAATTGTATCAATACACATATCCAAGTCAGCTGACCTGAGCGATATGCCATATATAGATAATAAATGTTTAAGAATTTTTAAGAAAGGAGAGGAAGCAGATTGTCCCATATCCCCGTAATAAAATTATACTTACCTTCCTAAGCAACCTTCGGAGTCCCTGAATTCGGGCGCCACTTGTCGTGAGTATCTAGGGTACTCTGAACTCCGGGAAAGGTAAACACGCAAACACGCCTGATTGGGACACGGGGGGTGCAGCACTCGGAAAGGAAGACAGGAGAGACACGGCACCTTTACTGCCTGCACCGCGTTGCACTGCACTGCACGCACAATCTTTATTTTAAGATTCATATATAGTAAACCGGATCAGGTCACAGAGCCCAGATAATTAAGTAGTGAAAAGGCATTCTTTGTGACAAGCTACAATGTGACAGACTACAATGTTTATTCTAAACTATCTAAGTGAAGCAAATAATCACAACCAGTTCTCCTAACTTCTCTAGCCCAGGAAGAAATTCATTAGCTCAAGAATGTTGTTAATTTGTCTGCTGTTAGTGTCACAAAGGGTGGCCAGCCACTTCCTCAAGACTTCTGCAAAACAAAGCCAGCTCACAGTATGGTTTCCAGAGGGTGAGAGATCTCACTGATAACAGGCATTCCTGTCCTACCTCGGTCTCGCATACCGGGGGGCTATTGTAAATTGCAGGTTAGAGGGGGTTGGGCCTACAAAGTGACACCTCATCCCCCACAGTACAGAATGAAAACCATGGCGCCCCTGGCCCAGACATGAGTGCCCAACATGAAATGTCATGAAATATGGATGTGCCAAAATCTGAACCTGAGTTTCTGTCAGGCAGGGCACTTGCACAGAACTAAAAATTGATAGCTTTCGTGATGTTTCTGGTGTTCCATTTATGGGTCACAAGCGTAGGAACTCTGGTGTTTAGCAGCATGTGCAGGACCCAGCAGAGGCTATTAGCCAAGCCAGGGCACTTCAGGGCTCTCACTTTTAGCTCTGCCCACCTGGAGCTCCTGGGGCTGATGGTGATGGCCTGGAAGACACTCAGCAGGCAGGTGCTGTCCATGGACACACCCTGCCCACTCTGTGAGCACAGAAAACAAGTTTGCATCCAACATTTCTGAGGAAGTGTCTCAACCCAAAATCTGACATGGTCTCTGGGAGTCCGTGGGAGAGAACAAGGGAGTTGTCCACCATCAGGTACCTGAGGATCACATCTATAGACCTGGATCTGCATCAACAGAAGCAAAGGAGGCAATAATGATACAAGAGTGCAAAATTCCCCGGGGTTCCGATGACGACTTGGAGAAGGAAGATCACTCCAAATTCCCAGTCCACTGAAGCCATTTTACGATTGTCCTGGACTTAACATTTAAAACACATGAGTCTGAATGGAAAAATAAATTGTGAGGTATTACATAAAATGTTAAATTCAAAATTCTTCACTTACCAATATTCTTCCTCACAAATTCACTGCTAAGAGGTTCTTCAAAGTCTTCTACACTCTTTTATCCTCTAGTACTGGACATTAATCCCAGGGCCATTGCACTGAGCTACCTCTGCAGATATTTGTTTGTTTTTATTTTGCGCATGTTTTCAATAAGTCACTAAATTTCATGGGCTAGCCATGAGGTTACATTCGTCCTGACTCAGCCTGCCAGAGCACAGGGATTACAGGAGTGTGGCACCAAGTCCACATCTAAAGGCTGATGTGTTTTTTCAGAGCACTCACAGTGCATAGGTCATAATACTTAATAATTACCTATTCCAACTTCTTTAATACACAGAACACGATCAGTTAGGGTTAATAATATTTTCCTTCTACACGCAAAAGTGGTTTAACCAAAAGCTCATATGATTCATCTTAAATACCCTTAAAAAACGGACTTAAATCTCACAGCCAGGCTGCATGAATCTTATGCTTTTTCTTGTGCTCTATTGTCATAAAGACATGGTGGTGGTCATACAGGACCACCCACACAGAGGGATAACTTGTCATTTTTAAGATCTGCTTATTGAATGATTTTAAAGGTGATAATTTTTCATTTATATATAAATGTTTCTTCCATATACCAGTATCACTTATGAATGAAGATTTAAAGACCATTAAAAAGTGATCCCCTAAACGATTTCCTGTGGCTAGATTATCATGAATCGATGTAAAGATAAAAACCATAATGATACAACATTTTTTCCATTAGTATCTATCAGAGAAACTGGTCATAATATCTGGATTTGGGTCTAAGCTAAAGTACATGAAATTTAAATGAGATAAAATATCTTATTTTAGAAACTAATGTAATCTGCATTAGATAGCCTATAATTACGTGTGTCTTATTTCAGAAAAACAAAGAAAATGTAATAAGTAATTCAGGAACAGTGGTAAAATACAAGACAAGTACACAGAACAAAATTCTGAGGCTTCAAATCTGCTGTGTGCCCAGGGCATAAAGGCAAAGTTTGTCCTGAAAATTGCTCTGAAAATTTTACAACCCAAAGAAATAACACAAGACACTTTTGAGTCTGAAACAACCAGAACTCCTTAATTTTGACATAGTGTGATTCTCTCAAGTACAACGTTAACTTTTCCTGGCAGTCTCTCTCTCCTACCTTCAGAGAGGAAAATGGCCCAACCTTGATCTACAGACTACAGATATTTTCAAAGAGATCCCATTATCATTCCCATTTAACACATCCAAAGCATTGAGGGAATTTTCTTATCACAGCAACTGCCATCCGATCACATCTGTATGCACTGATCCGTCACAGGCATTATCACACACACAGAATTTTACTTTAGTAACAATACTGCTCGTTAAGTTTTTCCCTGGTTTCTGTAGAACAAGTTGAATAGCAGACTGATTTCTAAATTACAGTCTTAAGCACCTTACAAATTAGACATCATTATGCTTGGAACAATCTCCCACCACAATCATCAGTGCTCATTATATGAAAACCCTTCGGAAGAAGCTAGAGACTGGTGCGGGTCTCTGACCTCCAAGCTCCGTCCACACTCAGGAATCTTCCTTCCTCCCTCCCTCCCTGTGTGGCTGTCACCACAAATGAATCACAAATGAATCACTCTTCCAGATGCAAGGCCTTGCCAGACACATGCTGGGATGCAGCTCATTTCCTTAAAGGATCTGGTTTCACAGACTGGAACAAGAAATACTCCTCTCTTTCCTCCTTCCAGAACCACACGCTCAGGTAGTGGTCATGACACCACTGGCTTTGTGGAGGAAGGCAGCCCCACTTAGAAATATGGGGTCTTGATTTTGTGATTTCAACTCCCCACAGAAACATCATTGTCATTTGGATGACAGTGCGTGCACAACTGGTCTGTGGAGACTAAGCTAAAAACAAAACAAAACAAAAAACAAAAAAGTTTTGACAGTTCCTAATTCCCAGAAACAATCAGAAGTTTCTCTGAGCATCTCTAGAGAGAGTTTCAATGCTTTGGAGAACCTCTTCCTTTGCCATAATGCCCGACAAGAGAACAGTGTAGTGTGGTGGAAGCAGAAAATGTTGAGATCTGAAAGATGAAGAAATAGCAGCAAAGTATATAAATTCTATGTTGTTGCAATTTTAATTGACACCTTAAAATGACACCTTTATTTTCTACAGCTCATTGGTTTAAAATACATATAAAGTGAGATGGCTATATTGACCTAATTAATAGATGCACTATCTCACATTTTTGTGATAATAACACATAATCTGTTCTCTTAGGGATTCACAAGAATAGAATACACTGTTACTGAATACTCAGTCTGTTGTACAATAGACCTCTTGAACTGACTCTAACTGAAATCTTACATCCTTTGGGAAATGTCTCCCCACATTGTGCCATGTCCTAGCCACTGGTAACCACTGTTCTACCCTTCATTTTTATGAGTTGAAACCTTTTCCACTCATATATTTGGGGTCATGCCATAGAGTATTTGTCTTTCTGTGTCTGGCTTATTTCGATTAACAGAACATCTTCCAGATTCTTCTATGCTATATGGCATTTGTTTGTTTCCATTGGGAAATAGCTCTTTGGGTTCTCTGCCAACTTCTTCTTTATGTTTTTTGTATTCTTATATTGATCAACTTGACAAAGGCAAACACCATGACAGAGAATTCCAAAAGTGGATAAGCATTATTTTTTTAAAAAGTAAGAACACTCTGATAAGATTATCTGCATATTTCCAGTAAAAACAAACAAACAAACAAAAAACTCTTTCAGTTTAGAGGGGACATACATTCAGGATGCTGATTGGATGAAAAACTGCCTCAAAGTAAAAGAAAAATTAAAATTTCCCAGATAAACAAAAGATTCAGAAATGTATTAGCACTGCACATGTTTTATAAGAAATGCTAAAGTAAGGCACGCATTTACATTGCAAAGTTAAGCAGCAACACTGAAATTTATACATAGGTGTTTCAACATATAAAAATAACCTAAAGCTCTCTATTAAGTGAAAATATATATACCATAGCATCGTAATGGTAGTGCATTAAAATTCTTTTAATTTTCCTGTATATTTTAAATAACAAAAGCATAAAAATACTCATAAATCTGTGTTGATGGATACACAATATAAAAGATCTCATTTGTGGCATCAATAATACACCATGCAGACATACAAAGAAGTGGAGTTTTATATATAAATAAAGTTTCAGTTAAAATATACTCTTGTAACTTTAGGATGCTTTATATAATACTTGAGATAATCACAAAGAAAGTCTCTATTGAAAAGAAACCAAAAGAAAATCAAAAAGAGATCAGAACATGTCACTAAAAAATAGTAAAGCACAAAGGAAGGTACCAAGGGAAAAAACAGACAAAACTCCTACAAAATCTATAAGAAGCCACTAACCAAACAGCAATAGGTCCCATTGTTTCAACAATTCCTTTAAATATTAATTTGTAATTATGAGTAAATATCGTATTGTTTCACTAATGTAAGAAGCCGAAAGAAACTATATATATAATACAGTTAAGATAGCTATACTACTGATTTCTCTGAGTTCATTGAAGAGAAATGTTTACACTGGTACTGTTAGGACAATTGAAAGCAGTTGTCTTTTGCTTTGAGTGACTGATTTGGGAATGGCAATATGCAATGTATGCATCATTGTTGTCCACTGATGTGTTTTGAAATTTTGGGTTTTTTTTTTTTTTTTTCTCTTTGAAGTAAAATGAATTTGGGAAAAAACCATGCAAGTAAAAAAAAAAAAAAAATATATATATATATATATATATATATATGTGTGTGTGTGTGTGTGTGTGTGTGTGTGTTAAAGCCCCTAAAGCAAACACATAATTTGGTTAGATGAGTGCAAGAAACAAGACTCAACTGCATGCTGACCACAAGACACTCACATTAGGTCTAGGGACACATGTGCACTAAAAGCAAAATGGAAAAAATTAGATACAAAAAGTGACCAGGAGAAACTACAGGTCCTGATAGTAAAACTGAACAGAACAGACTTTAAATAAAATATTAGAATATGAGACAAACATATTAGATTTCTCATTGCCAGACAAATTATCTGGCATGCAAAACTCAAAAGAGGAAGAACGTATTTTGGTTCACAGCTTCACAAGTTTCATCCTATATTCTGCTGGCTCCAAATCAGAGACAGCATGGTGGGAGGGCCTGGAGGAGAAAAGCTTCTCAACCCATGACAGCCATGACAGCTTCTCTACCTCTGACAAGCAGTGACAGGACAGAGGCAGAGGCAGCGATATACCCTCACCTGGAGCCATCTCCTCCACCTGGGCCCCAGATCCTAACAACAGGTGTGTTTATGAACTCATCCACTGATGAGAATAGCACTTCTGTGCTCCTCTACCTTCCAAAAGCTCCCCCTCAGAAAACAAAAGATTTTGAGCAGATCCTTTAGCTCTACAACATGCACTCTAAATTATCAGGACAAGGAAGAACATACACAATTGTCAAGAACTCACTCACAAGGAATATATGACAACCCAATGTCAGGCCTCTGTCTTAGATGAAGCTCCACTCACCCAACTGAAGCAAGAATATACAGCAACACAATAATAGGGTCTTGAATACTCTGCTTTGAATCAGAAAAAAAGCAGAAAATCAACAACGAAAGAGAGGGCTTGAGCAACATTTAGGCCCAATTAGACCTGGCAATCATAGGTAGAACATGCCAGCCGAGAACAGCAGCATACTCTCTAGAGTCAACACATTTAAGAAGATGTAAATCATATGAAGTCAACACATTTAAGAAGATGCAAATCATATGAAGTAATGTTTCTGGCCAGAATATAATGAGACTAGAAGCCAAAACCGGAAAGAAAACTGGCATATCCTCAGTTATCTGGAAATTAAACAACACACTCATAGTCAAGGGTTAAAGACTTAACAGTGTTAAATTGTAAATACCAACGTTCTGGGTAAAATGGCAGAATACCAGTATCCTTTGTGTGACTGAGTAAGAATTAAGAGTTAGAAAGAAAAAGTCATACGAAGAAAGAGATGACATTCAGGAATTAAGAAACAGGTGTCAAAGCTCTTCGTTGTACCAGTAATCCCAGCACTCTGGGGGATGAGGAGGATCACAAGTTCAAGTCCAGCCAAGGAAATTTAACAAGCCCTTTTCAAAATACAAATTAACTTCAACTCAAAAGCCCTGGGTGCAATCTTCAGCGCCAGGCAGGGAGGGAGGGAGGGAGGGAATGCAGAACACACCCAAGACTGACTCACCCAGTTACCTCCAGGTGAACTACATTTTCCAGAAGTGGGGCACAGCACTAGTAGGACAGCAAAGCGTTGCATGCCGGGGAGCCTGGCGTCCCGCCTCTACGTCTGAGAATTCCCTTTATGCTAACTACATTTATTTCCCAGAGGACTCTGCGGCGCAGCCCAAGGAGGCGCATGAGGAATTGCATGCTGGGAAAAGGGACCCTTGCTCGCGGAATTTTTAAAATGGATTCCGCCTGAGTCGTGACGCGGTTCGCCTGGAACTACGCTTCTGTTGCTATCTAGGAGCAGGAAGTGGGGTTATACCCCAACCGGTATGACAGCGAAGAAGAGGCACTGTGTAAAGGGAAAGGGAAACGGCATCCGGACCCATGGCTTTGAACGCGGTGGAGAAGGGAAGTGCGAAGTGTCCCAGGCCTGAGCCTACGCGGCGTCCCCAGTACTGGGGCCCAGGTACGCGGGAGCGATCGTGGGGCGGAGGATCTGGGCCTAGAGCGGCTGTGGACAGTAAAGCAGTCGGGCCGTGCCTTCCGCTTCACCGTGGCGTGCGGCATGCGACTTGCGAAGGGGTGGGTGCCGCCGCGAGGGTGGCGCAGCCGGCGGGTGGCTCCTTCCCTGGGAGCTGTGTCCTCCGCGGGTGGGGGTAGGGTAGCCGTGAGAACGGCTTGTTCCCTTGTTCCGGGGCCACAGATGGACTTGAGCCTAACCTGCATCCAGCGTCTCTGCTTTTTCCGACTTCACTTTCCAGACTTGTGGGACCGGTTGGGAAGCAGTGGCACCGGAAGGACATGACGAATGACGTATTATCATGAAAATGACCAAGAAGAAAGACAAAAAACATTGCCATGAAATTGAAACTTTTAGAACCGGAAATACCCGTTATGCACAATTTAACGAACAGAGGAGAGAAGCTGAGGTATCAAAATTACGTTTAGGGGGAAAGACTTAAGGGAAAGGCCAGTTACAGCTTTCAGAACCTCAGCTGCCCTCTAGGTTTTAACGTTGGCTTCGTAGAAACTTCGTGCCATAAGAGCCAAAGGGAAAAAAAAAGAGGAGGCTGAGGTTCAGGTAAACTACCTTGTGCACTCAGAAGAGCTGAAAAGAGGGGAAGCGTGAGGTCAAGGAACCTGGTAAAAGTTGTCAGGCTGCATGCTACTGTCAGAATGTCAGAGCAATCTACAACCTCTTCACCATCTGATCCCCCAGATGGCCTCAGAGAGATCCATCTTTTTCCTAAGGAAAGCATTCCCCATCAGTCCTTTGCTCTGGACCTGTGCCGTTTTGGTTAGTTCTGTTCTCAGCTGTGGCTAGGTGTAACGTGTGTACAATAAACCATCTTTTCTGCTGCATTAAAAAAAAAAAAAATGACTTACTAGAGTCTACACCACAGTAATCTCTGAACACAAATCCCAGGTCCCTCTTATTTTTGATTGATTTGAATGTGTGCTGGGGGCAAGTGTGTTTTGGAAGGTGTTTTCTAAGACAGCTTGTATCCAGAAAGGGTCTTGTGTCTCATTTTTATCTTCCTTTTCACCCGTGGCCAGCTGTTCTTTAGAAAAAAAGGCAACATAAGCAGGAAGACAGATTGTATCACACCTTAAAATCAAGGTTCCAAGGGTCTGGGGATTTAACTTAGTTCAGTGGTGTGAGTTCCTGCCTTGCAAGCACCAGTCGTGAGTTCGATCCCCAGTACCAAAAAAATAAATAAGTTGTAAAATCAAGATTCCGGTGAGTTTCCTTTATCTTCTTTAAATGAGCAGTGTTTCACAACTTAGGACCATCTGCTTTCCTTGGTGCCAGCTGTTTTTCCTGATAGCACCCTGGACCAGTGATTCCCAACCAAGGACTGTGATAAGCTACACATGTATGTCCACCGCTGTAATTGCCACTGGTCAGCACTCCCTAGTGAGTATTTACAGACCCATTTGGAAAATTGTCCAGCTCTGCTTTTCTAAGAATCTAAGAATCCTAAGCTAGGTGTAGTAGTGCACTCCTCAACACTTGGAGGCTGAGGCAGGAGGATCATTGCAAGTTCAAGACCAGCCTGGGCTACAAAGTGAACCCAAGGCTGCCTGAACTGCATAGTGAGACCCTGTGTGAAAATGACACACACAAAAATTTTTTAAATATATATACCTCCTAAGTCAGTGGTGTCGAAACTGTGACATGCATATTATTTGTTTTTCTACACTGAAGCCTCAGCATTCAGGTTTATTTGCAGCATTGGCACTCTGCCATGAATAAGTGGGTTTTGAGTTGCAGCTTGGGCACCGACTCTAAAAGATCCACTTCACCATCCTTGGTTAGTGTTAACCTTAGGGTGTGTTGGAAAGGAGATCAGTTTGGGGATGAAGTCAGACATCAAACAGCTTTGGTCTTCATCGTGTAGGATTTTTCAGGGCATAGCCACAATGGCGACAGTTTGGTTGTTTTACCAGGTAAATGACAAAAGTGTCTGCTTTTAAGAGCAGGATGGAGGAGCTCGAGATGAAGGATGTAGCTCGGCAGTAGCATGTATGGCCTATGTGGGGAAGGGCTCAATCCACAGTGGCCAAAAAAAAAAAAAAAAAACCAGGGACATTTCAGGTAAGCAGTAAGTCAGAATTGGCTTCGTTAAGGAGGGCTTCCTGAGCCATGTGGCCTTGGGTGTTTTCAGTTGCTTTTTTGTGTGAATGATAATGTGCAGTATGGTTTGATTTAGTAATTAATTGAGAGTTTAGAACAAAGGTTTGACAGTTTTTCCATAAAGGGCGGGTAGTAGATATTTTATGGTTTGTACACCACCAATGGCTGCACATTTTTCTTCTTCTTTTAAAGAGGTTTTGTGTTGTGTTGTGTTGTGTAGTTTATATTTGTAGATTTGCAAAGATAGTACCAAGACTTCCCTGGGCACCCAGTTTCCTCTCTTAATAGATTTGTAGGGAGCAATTTTAATGCATTACTATTCATTAAGATTCATGACATAACCCATGTCCTTGGTATTTATCTCCTTGTCTTAGTCTTTTCCAGGACAATGCCTGCCATTTTGCCATCACATTTCCTTAGATCCTCCATGGCCGTGCAGTTTCTCAGACTTCCTTTTTGATGACCTTGACAGTTTCCAAGGTGAAGCATTTTGTTGGCTTATCCCCTGTTGCTTGTGATTGGCCCAGTATTTTTTGCAAAGTTAGAATGGGAGTATAAGTTTGGAGGAAGCTGATCCAAAAGGTAAACTGCCATGCCAATCACATGAGAACAAGGATACAGACTAATGATTGCAATGGTTCCGTTGACCTTGACCACCTGAGAGGCCACGTTTGTCAGTTTTCTATATTGTAAAATTACTCCTTCCCCTGTCAGGGGTTTAGCTTAGTATCATAAGTACTTGCCTGGCAAGTGTGAGGTTGTGAGTTCAATCTCCCATACCAAAAAGAAAAGAAAAAATTACTCCTTTCACCTTGTCCTGTCTTATTCCTTAGATATAAGTCACTATATTCAGCTGACATTTAAGGAATGAGGAATTTTGCTCCTTCCTTTGTTTCTTGTGTATTTCCACTTATAAACCCCTTAAGAATGTGAAGATGTTTCTTGGCCATTCATAGTAGGCTAGGGGCTGAATTCACCCTGTAGTTTGCTGAGCCTGATCTGTGTCTGAAGACAAGATTATGATGAAGACATTAGGTGTTTGTATACCTGAAGGCCATAGATCCAGCCCCAGAGCCAATGTCTTTAGTAACTAAGGTAATTGTTATGTGGGAATCCTGAGTGTTTGGAGATCAGTCAACATCAAGTGAAGGTCACTGAAGGATCCCAAGAGGTTCACATACTGAACCAGAGCATCACCTGGTCTAGAACAGACATCTCTAACCTGCCTGTAACTCCAGGTAAATTGCAAACACACTGATGATGTATGTTTGTAAATGTGGCAGTGTTACTCTTATTTTTGAAGATGACAAGCCTATAATTGCATAGCATTAGCAGAAAGGTATGTGCTCCATGAAATCTATTCTCCATCTAGAATCAAAAACTTTCCTGGTCCACAGTTAGTATTTATGATAATGGCCTTGCTTTGTTGTGAAATAATGTACTATGCAGCTATAAAGAATTATGTTAGAGGGCTGGGGATATAACTCAGTGACAGAGTACTTGCCTGGCACATGTGAGACACTGCTTCAATCCCCAAAACAAAACAAAACAAAATTAGAGATACTCATATAAGGGAAAAATGCATGTGACCATACAAATAGTTACTAAAAATGAGAAACTTAAATCACTATAAATTCCATTTTAATAAAAGCTTTGTAAATACCACGTCCAACATAACATGTTAGTGATTATTCAGAGAAGGATGTGGCCACAGATCCCAAGTACTCTCTGAACCAAACACTTTACTCCTTGCCTTGCACTGAGTGGCTCTGTCTGCAGAGGCACTTAGCTGTGTGGCTGCACTGGTGTGTTGAGTGTAGTCCTGAGACACGGGAAAGAATGTTGAAAAGATACCAGTCAAATGGTTATTTCGTTACTGGGCCTACATCAGTTCCCCTTTGCGGCTGTAAGATATAACCAGACTTAAGAGATTTAATACAAGATTAATACCCTGTAATCCCAAAAGCCTTAAATTGGTTTCTTAGGGCCAAGCCAAGGTTTTTAAGCTGTGCTCCTTTTAGAAACTCCAGGATCCATCCTGGCTCCTGCCTCCCCAGCTTCCAGAGGCTGCTGTCCTCTTAGCCCTTGTGGTGTCTCCACGGCCCCCTCAGGAGGTCAGGTCATTCTCCTATCACTTCACTCTGACCCCACTTTTCTCATCACATTATTATGTTATTCTGCCTGTCTCCCAACTAATTTTAATAATATTTATGATTCTATTGGGCCTGTGAATAAGTTACTTTTAGATTGTGTGGTAGAAATTTAAGTCCATCTGCCATCTTAATTCTTTTGCAGTGTAACAGAACATGCTCCCAGGTCGTCTTACTTTCTTGTTGCTGGGATAGGATCCCTGACACCCACAAGTTAAAGGAGGAGAGGTTAATTTTGGCTCACAGTTTGTAAAGGTTTCAGGGCACAGTTGTCTGGATCTAAGGCAGGGTGGCATGGCAGAGGAGAAGCAGCTCATGGCAGGGCCTTTAGGAAGCACAGAAGGATCAAGGAAAGAGGAGGGAGAGAGACTTGCAGGCCACCCCGCAGGGATCTACCCCTTCCAACCAAGTTCACCTCCCAAGATCATACCCAGCTAATCAATCCACTGATGAGTGTCACACCCATTATCTAGTCACCTCCCCATATCCTCTCTCATGAGCTAATGAAGCTTTGGGGAGACATTTAATAATGTAATGCAGGTTGCAAACTAGGATAGGGCATCCTTGAGAGATAGTTATTGTACCTGTTACCAACCACTGTATCCAAGAAGGTGCCACCTCCCCCACAAGGCTGATCCTCCATTGTTTCTTTAAACTTGAGGCTTACTGAGACCTACACTTTTATGTACAGACATTTCTTCTCAGATGGGAAACATGATTGAGCCCCTGGTCAGTGTTTTTGGTTCGGTGTTTTCTTGGGTTAGATTCTTTGAACTGGATTTGTAATGTACAACCATGTGCTTGCCTATCTCCTCACAGACAAATAGGAAACATCTCACCCTTACTCACCTTAGACTCTGTTTTGCTAGTGTTGCTTAGAAGAAACCTCACACTTAAGATGAGGCTCTGAACAATGTCTTTAGTTGGTATGGATTATGTAGATTGCAAGATTAGGAAGCATGTATTTAGGGTGGGGGAAATAGTGAGCTCTACTTTTTATATAAATGGGATAAGAAATGTGTGATTTCAATAAAAATAGCTAACTTACATATTGCAGTGTAAGTATCCCTAAAGAGCAACAGTGTTTTCTGCTTTGGGGATTGTCAGTTTGGGGAATATTTACATAGTTTTCTTCTGTTTAACACCCATTAATTCTGTCAGGCATGGTGGCACATGCCTGTCATCTCAGCACTTGGGAGGCTGAGGCAGGAGGATCAGTGGAGGTTTGAGACCAGCCTGGGCTACAAAGTGAGCTCAAGGCCAGCCTGAAGTGCATAGTGAGACCTTATCTCAAAAAGACCCCCCCCAAAAAAAAAATCCATTAAT